TATCTGTACTTTTACTCAAGTACGGAAAGTGAGTACTTTTGCCATCTCTGGTTACAGGACAGAGAAAATGATTGGAGCTTGCACAGCTGTGGGCTCAAAAATCACGTCCGCGAGCGTCCGACAAAGTTTGAGCCCCGAACAAGGTCATTTCCTGCTTCTTATAGCTCATGAGTCTATGTGTTGCATCATGTTGATGTTTAGCTGTCCGTATCAGAAATATTTTTAAATGTTCCAAAGGTAACAAGGTTAGATTATTGGCTTGAAATGTTTTTAATTTTCAAAGTATTTCACCTAGTACCCTATAAAGGGTTAAAGTGATTCCCTCCTTCTTTTCAACATGATTTGTAGTTTAAAACTTTACTTTTCTTTACTTTTCAGCCTTTATGCATCTGTAATGTATTCCCCACATAGCGGATGTGGCCCTGCTCCTGCCTTCTTGTTTTTCCGCATTCTTTCCAGGAGCCTATTTGTCTCATCTGCAGAGACTCAGAAAGACATGCCAATCACAGGTTCAGACCCATCGAAGAAGTTGCTCGAGATCAGAGAGAAGAGCTTGAGGCGTCGCTGAAGCCATTGGAGGACAAACTTAAGCTCTTTAAAGAGGTCAGAGAAAAACATGAACAAACAGGAAACCACATTGAAGTCCAGGCTCAACGTGTGAAGAAGTGGATTAGGAAGGAGGTGAAGCTGCTTCATGAGCTGCTGGAGGTAGAGGCAGAGGTCAGGATTGCCGCTGTGAGGGAGGAGCAGAAGGAAAAGTGTGAAATAGTAAAGAAGAGAGTGAAGGATCTGAGGAAAAAGATGGCGACTCTTTCAGAAGCAATCACAAAGACGAGGGAGGAGCTGAGAGCTGACGATCTTCTGTTCCTGCGCCGCCGTGGGGCGGCAGCAGAGCGAGTCCGGCAGCAAACCCAAATGGATCGTCCACCGCTGCTCTCTGGACTTCTTCTGGATAAAGCTAAACACAAGGGCAATCTGACCTTTAACATCTGGAGCAAAATGAACGACCTGTACTTCCCTGTGATTCTGGATCCAAACACGGCTCACCCAGGACTCAGACTGACTAAACATCTCACCGGCGTCAAATGGGGGGAGAGCCAAGAGCTTCCAGACAATCCAGAAAGGTTCGACAGCTCCTCCATCATCCTCGGCTCTGAAGGTTTCACATCTGGGATTCACAGCTGGGAGGTGGAGGTGGGGGAGAACCAGCACTGGATGCTAGGCGTGGCACCAGAGTCTTCGAAAAGAAAGGGACCTTTAGGACAACGGTCCGGATTATGGACCTTAGCTTATTATAAAGGCACCTACAAGGCATTTTCCCCTTCCCGTTCAGTCTTCGATCCTCCAGTTAAGAAAAAGCTTCAGAAGATCCGGGTTCATATGAACTGTGACGCAGGAGTTCTAAGATTCTTTGACCCGGAGGCGCTCATACAGTCGTTCCGGTGCAGCTCCACAGAGCCGCTGTTCCCCTTTCTAGGCACAACAGACGGACACTTTCTGAAGATTCAACCGGACACAGTCTGTGTGCTGAACAATGCAGACACCATTTGCGACGATGGAGACAGTGTTGACATCGAGGAACAGCTCAGCCACGATGGGGATGAAGAGGTCACCAGTATTTTCAATGATGGTTAAATATTAAAGTTGAATGAAATTAGATTAAAAACACCCAAAAACACTGTGATTATATTTTCAGTGAGAAAACACAATAAAGTTGAGAAACATTATAGAATTTAAGGTTCACCTGTGATTAAATCCACAGCAGCTTTGGGTTAAACAACAAATATTTTCAAAAAGTTCATATATTTTGTCTTTTACCCATTTCACAGAAATCCAAAATACTCACAGTAGCAGCCATTTGAATTTGGCCCTTCCCAGTCAAACGTCAGCCGAATGGCTGCCCACTACCCTCCAACTCCCAGCGAAATCCCCTCCATCTTCCAGCCTCTGGAGTGACCCCTTCTTGCATATTATTTTACTCTGACTCGACCCTTTCAATGAATTACAGGGTCT